ATAAGTTTTCCTGCCAAGTTTCAAGTCTAATTACCCAAGGAATACGATTTTTCATACAAACTTTCATCCACTTTTTTACCCCTCAGGGATAGAATTTCAAAAATCTAGATGATACATGTTATTCTTTATTTCTGATCTTAAGTATAAATACAGAGTTTCGAGTTAATCGAATGTGCGTTAAAATTAATTCTTTAAAAAACTGCGGCACTCCCCTCCCCCTTTTAGGGGTAGTTTCGGCAAACCAAAAGTGCAAACTTTATTATTTTTTTTAGAGAAGTATTCGTACTAAGTTTTAATATTTTGACGACCTCCGTGGCCGAGTGGTTTGTACGGCGGGTTTCATGGCTGTCGCCGACTCGAGAGGTCCCGGGTTCGAATCCCGGTGGGGGCAGATGTTTGTGTAATGAATACGAACATTTGTACTCCAGTCATGGATGTTTAATATGTATTTATATAAATATACTTATATATGTACAGTATATGTATTCTATCCGTTACCCTAGCATCCCATAACACAAGCCTTATAGTGCTTACTTTGGGGCTAGGCTAATTGGTGTGAGTGTCGGAAATATTTATTTATTTTATTTTATTTAATTCTATTAATTCAAAGTATAAGATATTTCGTACTTTCATCCCCTTTTTACCATCGTTATTCTTTATTTCTGGTCTTTAGTTAAAATACCAAGTTTCGAGTTAATCGAAATGCACATAGACATCACAAGGAACCTACGTGCCAAATTTGGAGTCTCTAGACCTATCGGTTTGGGCTGTGCTGATTAAAATCTGTCCAGCCGTTCTTGAGTTTAAAATAGGTGTTTTACCTAACGCGACTTTGTTTTATATATATAACCTATATATATCAGTGTCATCAAAATTAGCAGCTTTTACATACCTCCAATGATAAGACACATACCTCTATAGATGGAGTAGGTAAATCCACCTAAAAACTTGGTCTAAGTATTCCTTCTTTCAAGAGTTCCGTGCTTACAGGCCTACTGTTACTAAGCTTTTTCACTAAATTTTCTATCATCCTCAATCACTGTAAATAATTCTTCTTCTAAAACCTTGTAAGATACCCTTACTTTACGAGCCCAACTCGCACTTGATATTTTTTTGGCATATCCTGTTGGTGAGACCTCGATATCCATAATTATGATATACCTAATTTCAGTCGTCAATACAAGCACAGTGCACTTTGGTCGCGAAATCGAAAAGGATTTTGAGCGAAGGTATTCAAATTGCAGGTAATAGTGATATTCGGCAGCCGGCAACCGACGGCGGGCGGCGCAGCTCAAAGGCGCCCGCTGGACGGCTCACCGCACCGTTATTATCTCAACACCAGCACGCTCACACCTCGCCATTCCTTTTTTACCAGACGCCTCCATCCTCTTTCTTCCCATCACGCAGAAACAGGACTTCCACTCATTAATACTAAACTCGACTCAGGGGCGTTCCTTCGACGATTTATCATTTAGCGTTGCCTACAGACATTATTTGAAACGCATTAAAATCGCGGTTGTGGAAAATTTGTCGGCATCGAAATTAATACTCCTCGCCGATAGCATAATTTATCGTTTAAGACGCATCCGCTGAAGTGCTATAGGTATTTGTAATTAGAATTTCATTAAAGTTGATAATCCGCCTACCAACCCGTGTTTATGGTAATTGTGCTGAGTCCAGCTCGAAATATGGTGCTATTTATGTAGTATCTATGGTTTCATTAGTTAATGAGCATCGATGAGTTAATCTTGATGCAAATATTACATCACAGTCTGATCAGATCGATTAAACTTACCTTGGACATTTTTTTTATATTAGTCCCATTTAAAATAATTGTAACCGTCACAATGGAGTAATGAAGAAGTGACAGGTTGTTATTAATTAAGCGAAATGAAGCAAGTGTGTTTTCGCCGTCACATCACAAGTGAGCCAGATCGGAGTGCGGCGAAGCGAGGGCCATCTCGGTTGCCCTGAGGAAGCTGTCACGCGCGGCGCGAACATCTGATGAATATGTATCGGCAGGCTGCAGCGGCGCCTTGTAATTTGAGACTCGCCGGTAATTATTTACGTGAGAATGGGCCGCGGCCGCCACAGCCCCGCGCCCCGCTCCACGGAACGAATCGCTGATTGCGCGCGAGCGGAGATGCCGCCGCCAGATTGCCGCTCACGCTCCACCGGCCGGTGTGCGCCCGCGCAGACTCGCCGACGAGCCAACACGCCCGCAACGCACCATTTGATACATGACCAGCTTCAACGTAGTTACACAAAACATAATGATATCTGATACAGCTTTCGCCAGTAGTTCGATTGAACCTAGAAATTCGCAAGGGACCTATTTAAAAATTATAGCTACATACATAGGTTGATTGCTCCATTCATGATCCGTAATGATGTTATCCAAGATGCTTTCGATGATATAGCAAAGAAATAATCTACGGATGAACACCATTTAACAAAACCTAGAAAACAAAACATAGCATTGTTTTACTATGAGTATTTAATGTCCGAATAAATTCAAAATTCTGTCTTGAAAAAAAAAACAGTCCTCTCTGTCAAAACTTAATATACTTCTGATTTACCCAGCTGAGAATAAGGAAATTAAATTGACGTATAGCATCCCCAGCCGCCTCGCAATATTCGAACCGTACAGTATTACAAATAAACGAATTATGCTGTATCTCACGAAAAGATATTCTGTTCAAATAAACCAGTTGTGGTGTTGGAGTGATGACGGTTGTTATGACTTGGCACGACACTTGGGCGTCGGAACCGGCTCGGGTGTTACGCGGATGATGTGGTGCACTGAACCGCATTATTGGCACAATCCGAGCAGCAGAAAAGGATTTTTTCAACGTTTGAAAAGGAACAACACTTTATTATAATAATGGTAGCCAAAGATCAATGTGTCACAACATAACAAAAAAAGCAAAACAACCTTAGGTATTCGCAAGATAAAAGATACTTCGTTACAAAATATATTCTGTGCAGAGTTTCAATGTTATAAAAGGTTTTTAAAAAAAAACTTTACTAGACTTGTGTTATGAGTAAAACATGGGACTTCATGAGAGTGAGGAAAAAGTTGGAATAATTACGGAAATACCTTATCAGCAGCCCTCATATTATCACTGATTAACCTTATGCACTGTTGGATCGCAACAAACAATAATGTTACTTAATCACTTCATAAAAACTTAAAATAACTTCATAAATTCATATACCAGAATGGTGAAACATAGACAGGACTAATACTTTTATTGTAACATCACTATTGTACCTATGTTTATGAATAAATTAATTCTATTCTATTCTATTCTACTAGGTATCTTCTGTAGCGAAATCTCATCATTTCTCAGCGTACTTACCGAAAATACCATTAATGAATGAATGTAACATCAAAACATTGTACCAAGGTGATACCAGTAGCGCCATCTGTTTACACAAACAGAACTTTTACTGCTTCAAGTTGTTTTTGTAGCAGGACGAGCTAAAAAAGCAGAAAGCTGTTACGTGAATTTAAATTTATAAGCCAGCGATTAATAATAAACTGTCACAAGCATAAATTGTAATTTCAATAATCCACTAGACCACATTATGTGTTTGTTTAAACAACAGAATGTTAAATTAGCTGCTTTCAATAAGTGGGCACTGTGTTTGTACGGAGCGTGAACTACTCATTTATTTTTAAATCGTCTGTATTATATAGGTATAAGAGTCAATTTAGCATAGTCGAGTGATTGCGCGGTTAGTTTGAGAGTCGCAGGACCAGTGCTAGGCGCCCCGCTGTGCTCGCGACCCTAAACACACACAGACCGTGGGGCGCCGCGCCCTGCCGCACCCTGCGCCACTAATAACACCGTCTTTCCCTGTCATACCTTATTTCATTCGAACATCTCCTGTTTTTTTCGACTCAAATTTTTTACCTCCCAACCGACCGATATTAACAATAAAACGAATCTTTGATGATAGTAATCCTTCATCCTCATTGTCTTTTGGCAGTTTCTCGGAATAAAATATGTTTTTTACCTTTGCGACTTGATTTCTGAACGTCATATTATAAATGGCATCGTTTAAAACTTTTAATACCGTCTTCTACATGACGGCGATATTAATTTACTACGCTTGAGCTGATCGACCCTGTACCATAGCTGGAATGTTAAGTGACGGATTACCAACCGACGAGATGGAAAGATAACCACATGAGTTCTTGTTGATTCCATGACTGCCGAACCATCGGACATTCAGTTAATAAATGTTACCCCACATCTAATTAGTTCTACTCAACGTGTAAAATTAATATGAACGGTTACTGCCACCCTTATTAGAATAAAAATATTCGTAATTAATATACAACAACCACCGCTGTGTAATAAACTCAGGAGCAATGAACACGAGTCGGTTTAATGTCTTTATAGTTTTTGTATTCTGTGATTTGAAATTTGACTATAAAATTTTGAATACTAGCGTAAGGATTTAAATTAAGTTTTACATCTACTATCTATTATTTGATTAATTTGGTTACTTATGCATCATTCTAAAACTTAGAATATATTTTTTTAAATAAAGGGGGGGGGGGGACATGTTGGTGGCCCGACTGATGTTAAGTCATCACTATAGGCTGTAGACGCTTTTGCCTGTTTTCTAACCTTATCCTATAGCCCGCCTCGCGGAGCTTGGAACTGGAACTTACCTAACTTACTCACCATAATTAAATAAGTTAATGCATCCGTCATGACATCGGAAGACTGGGCCATGTGGATTTTTTTATAAATTATATAAAATTTTCTTTACATACACACATAAAAACATGCTTAAAATAAAAATTAAATAATTATCTGTTCCTACTATTGTTAAAATCGGTAATGGGAAATCCGAGGCCCATGTTATTTATTTTACAATTAACCATGGACGAAGAATCTCGCTCAGAGATTGACGCAATTTACAATTGCATTTACCATTCAGCAATCATTTAAGTCACTAGCCGATTGTCACTCACTTTGACTGTTACCAAGGAACCATATTTGTTTACGTATCGATTAGTCATTTGATAATGCAACGAGTTTAGTAGTAACGTTTTTATCTAAAAGAGTCAATAATTCTCATAAATATGGTAAAAATAACAGTAGATTTAGTTCGGAAGAGGGCAGAACACCATGATCGCCTTTTGGCACCACTAGAAGAAATTGCATTACACCAAGAAAACATTGAAAAAATCGAGTACTTACAAGACTGGTGTCCTAAATTGAAAATACTCCTGATGCAAAGCAATCTTATTGCTAAAATAGAAAATCTGAATAAATTAAAGCATTTGACGTATCTCAATTTAGCCTTAAATAATATTGAAATTATCGAGAACCTGGAAAGGTGTGAATCTTTACAGAAACTGGACCTTACTCTTAATTTTATCGGGGAAATTGTAAGTGTGGAAAACCTAATAGATAACTATAACTTAGAAAATTTATATTTGACTGGAAATCCTTGTACTGATTATGATAACTACCGTGATTTTGTTATTGGCACATTGCCTCAACTTTCAACTTTGGATGGGATAGACATTGAGCGTTCAGACAGAATTAAAGCTTTACAAAACTTAAAAATAATAAGGTCAGATATATTATTTGAGCAAGATAATTACAAATGTCAAAGGACGAAGCAAAAGTCACGCCTTGAGCGAGATATTCAAGAAAAATGGGAAAAAGAATACAAAGCAATGGATCCTGAAGAAAGAAATAAAAAATTTTGGGCCGAAAAGTGTGAACACGCTCCTGAAGTGCGCCATGAGATTGAACGTATGCGTCAACTAAAGGCTAAAAGTTATGAAACAACAGAGAAAAAGGAAGAAAAACGGATCTATAACTTTTTTTCTCCCGATGGGCGACCTTTTAATATTAACCAAGCAAAAATTGATTTTAAGTTTGACGACTCCCAATCAGATGTGTGTGTTCTTGATTTAGCTGTCTATAAACATTTAGACACCAGTTTGATTAATGTTGATGTTCAACCTAACTATGTGAGAGTGATGGTGAAAGGAAAAATATTTCAGCTCCACCTACCGGAAGAAGTGGACACTACTAACTCGAAGGCTGAGCGCTCTCAAATAACCGGCCACTTGCTTGTCACAATGCCGAAAGCGAATGTCGTACTTTCAAAACCAAAGCATGCTTTGTCCAAATTAAGTACAGGTAAGCATGCTCAATTGTATAGCGAACACCAAAAAGATTGCGAGAAAAATTCAGGTCAAAGTAAGCGTGAATATTTGGAAATAGGTCCTGCTGATAATGTTTTAGATTTTACTAAAATGACTCGACCGAGTGCTACCCCGGATTATATTGATCAGCGATTTAAATTAAGAGTAAAACTACCACCTCCGGGTTTCGTGGACAATCCCGAAGTTCCTGATCTCATTTAAGCTAAAAATATATCTATCTAAGGTGTATAAAACAGTGTTTTTTTTTGTATTTATTTTATAAATTGCATCTTAATCTTTTTACATCCTACTTTTCTGACACTTTTCTTATATGACCTCAATTCTCACACTCAAATACTTATAAGTACTTTAGAGTTTATTTAAACGTACCAAGAAAAAGTAGGGCTTGTGCACGAAGGGTTCCGTATCACTTTACAAGATTTAATTCAACTTCTAACAAAAAACGTGGTGAAAAATGTTTATTTACGTAGTAGCTGTTAAGTAATTGTGATTTTATGGTGTCTCCTACATTTTAAATTTTATTAATTTCATAACATTTCAACCGCCCAACTTAACACGATTGTTGGCCTACTGACATGCGGTTACCCTTTGGATATGGGACCCCAAAACGATAGTGACAGTACTATGGCCACACTGCTGTATTTTTACTGCTAATAAATTAAACTGAAATGATAGGTTTAGGTAGTATCCATGGTAATAGTAACGGAATAAGTATGCATAAACCTCTGTGTTTTCTGTGATGCATAAGTTTTACAGTAGCTTATTCGCTAACTGTTTGTCGGTATGATAGCCATCGAGCTATTTACTGATCCACTACTGCACTACTTTATTATAACGCTACTAAGTTACTTGTCCTGAAAAGCATCGATGGCTACGCAATTTTCTCTTAAGTGCATACTATAAATGTCAAAAAAGTTAGCAAATTGAGCAACTGGTTGCAAATGTTATTGAAACAATGGCAAACGTACTTAAAAGTACGGACAATGTAAACATAAAAAAAAACGAGCGAGCCTTACAGTAGTCGCGTATGATGTGTATCATTTGAAACCTCACCTCATATTAGTAAAAAAAGAAATAAAATCTACTACAAAAGGAATAAGCCAATTGAACATTATGTTCTAAAATCAAATCAAATAGCGCGCGCTTCCCAAGCTTCCTGTTACACACTTCCGTCCCATTTCACGAAATCACTCCCACAAATTGCAGGAAATCGAGAGAGAAACTCTTCAAAAATATCCATTTCCTCGTGGTCATACCAATTTGTCCTACTAGTGGGACCATGAGGAAGTACTATTCCTCGTAGTCCTACTAGTGGGGCAAATTAATTAATGATAAATTTTCTCGTTTCCTTATATCAAGTTCCGTCCTATATTATATCATCCCGTAGTATGATAGAAGTAAAAAACAAAATAAATCTCAAGAAAACTTTTACAAGAAAAAAATTCGGCAAAGTTTCAGGCAGGACTCGAACCAGCGTCTTCCGCTGTCCGGGCGGATGCACTTACCGCTATGCTACCGTTACTGTTAGAGGATTCGCCCGGACAGCGGAAGAGTTGAATTTTGTCTAGTAATAAAAAATATTTAGATGACATGTGATTTAATCATAAAAATGAATAAAAATACCTATCAAAAATAATCTAGGAAAATCTGGTGTGATTATACCGAAAAAGGACTACGAGGAACTTAGCATTTAAATATAATAATTTAACTCTGCAGCAGGACAAATTAGTAGGACCAAGAGGAAACAGCCGTAAAAATAATACCTTAATAATTTGGTATCAAAATATATCTTTATTCAGTAAAAACTTGTTTTTCCTTAATACTTATTTTTAATTATAACATAGAATAAATGTATACAATACTAAATTAGAGTTTTCAATAAGTTAAAACGAATTGTTATTTACAAAAAGTACTTACATAAAAAGTATCAAGAATTCACGAGACATGATTAAAAATTTGTAATACTTAAGTCGGTACTATTAATTCTGTGCCGTCTTACATTCATAGATTCAGTTAATTAATTAACAGTCAAACATTTTTATACTTGACTGCAAAAATTACAACCAACTAATGTTTTGCACTTTACATAAAAATATTGTTGTTCACTTGTTTTCTCAAAAGAGGTGGAGTTCGTTTCTTGCTAAGGATGGTTACATACGACAATATTCTTATATATATATATATATAGATATATTCTCTATCGATACTTTAACAAGGTTTAAACAAAATTTTATTAAAAAAACAAACAGTGCGTTTACAATATAAATAGGAAGGTTTTGGCGTTTACAAACTACTATATTTAAATTTTTGATATATTTTTTTCTTATTTTTGTTGTTTTTTGCGAATAAAATTGGTGGAGTTGGAAATTAGCCAGTAGGCGATTCAATTGGATTCCCGTACCAAAACCGACTAATACTTATTACTGTAATTATATACTTATTAATCTACATTTGAGAACTGTAGTTAAGTAGTTAAATTGTTAAGTAGTTGGTACTTTGATTTTAATAATAATATAAAAGGACGATAAGACTTTTTCCGTTCTGTTCTATAAGTAGAACTATTAGTAAGTAGATCTGTATGAACGATTAATACAACTTTGGAAAGTTCATATTCGAACTATTCTATTTACTGCCATAACTAACTGGATATAGTTCAATCTAATGCTTCTCAAAGTGACGTCTATTCCAAAGAAAGTTACAACATCATGGACTTATTATAGAAACTTAATAAGTTCATGGACAACATCGACTTTATTCAAAATAAAAAAAATACGTTTAATATTTCGGCTGTTAAACCGTCCCTTTAGATGTCTTTTAGTTATTGTTCTGAGACAGTCAGTACCACTCATGGACCAAGTATCAATCATTTGTCCATGGTTGCTCTATTATGCACCAATTGTAAAATTCTAAAAATTATTTCTTAATTTTAAATTAACGTTAGGATCGAATGGCAGTAATTATCCTATAGCTAATCATCTTTTTGTTTGTGTAGATAAAGACAAAAAGCGTATTTCTGGGTGTCATTGTTTTCAACAACACAATTTTATTTAACAATTCCCTTCCTTCTCGTCTTTTCAAACTTCCGTCTGGGGAAGAAGTGGGACAGCGAAATAACACTACCTTTTTTGTTAAGCATTTAACTACTAGATGTTTAAATCATAAGACAAGATTTTTTTTTAATATTTAAGCAACGGCAACGGCCAGTGATATTTCATCCACATGATACAATTTAAATCTATGCTGTTCTGCCATACATAAGGATTTTGGAAAATAATCACTTTATTAGCTTCACCTATGCCTAATAGATACCATAGGTAAAAATGGACGCTCGCACAAATATCGAATTAAAGTTAACGTTTTATAAAGTTATGAGTTGCCCTAATGTTCCATTCTTATCGCAAAGCAAATTATGGTATAATATTTAATTAAACTATAAGTCAATGCAATGGTTACACTCACAAACTTTTACATTTTGCCTTTTTTACAATTCAAACGATGTTCAAAAATAAGAACTCTTTTAAGACACATACATTTTAGCACCTCGTTGGAAGGAAACCGACACTTTGACCACAACTAAAACATTGCGCGCCTGTTACACACACAGACTTATCAAGACTCGAGTATGTGACTCTTTACTTATGAATTAATGACTATTCACCTTTTAATGATGTTGAGATAATAAATTTGGTTTTGGTTCATATTATGGTCATCTCTTCTCACATCTTCACTATCACGTTTCCTTTCAGTTTGTCATTTGTAGGATAACATACTCATCATAATAGTTAACATGAACTTTTTTTGACTTTTGACCGATAATTAGTATTTAAAATATTCGTTTTATAATCAAAACCAATTTGATTAATTATACATTTCGTAATGACAATATAAAATATCAACTGATAAAAACTGCAGTTCGCGTAAATGATGCATATTGCTTAGACTTTTTTTGATGTGTGTATAATAAAATTTAAGTTCGTAAGCAAATGTTTTTCACTTGTCTTGTTGAATCATTATCTAACACCAATCGCGTTGGAAATCAGTATTTAAATAGAATTTAGTAAACTATGTCACATTTCTCACTCAAAAAGACCAATGAAGAAATGACCCTTAAACGTCAAACCCATTAGTTCCACGCGGGTTCATTAGGGTTTAGACCTGGTGAGTTTCTAAGCCTTCATTGTGGTAGCCATTGAGTTCTGGCGGCATGGCCACCTTAAAGGAAAGGAAGCCGTCCACGTCGTGTAGTTCTTTGGAGTTGAACTTGGCAGAGATTTGATGGCGACCCGCCCAAGGAGGTGTGAGTTGGAACTGTGCAGTAGCTGTAGCGCCGGGTGCAACAGGCTGCAAAAATGGAAAAGGTCAATAAATACATAAAAGAACATTCATTTCAAACCTACTAATATTACAAATGTGACAGTTGATGTAGGTTTGAATGTTTGTATGTTTGTTACTCAATCATGAAAATCCGGCTGAATGGCATTTAAATGAAATTTGGCACACACACCGCCTTATTCCAAAACGCGGACAATAGTTAGTCTTGGTTTAAACCTAATGTTGTATCTGTCTTCTTTTTAGCAAACAAAAGTGACAGAATCAGTTTTGTCCAGATTTAACTTTAGGTTTTGTAAAAAGGCGGATATAGTTTATTATCTGAATTGAGACAAATACACTTTTTAACCAAAAATTTTTAGGTTCTTGAGGGATTCTTAAAAACTAAAGTCAACAAGATGAGGATGATGATGAACCTTTTCTTTAAAGATAGTATGCTTAACACTGAAACCTACTAACCTACGATTGAAACCGAACCTACGAACGAGAAGAAATCTACTAAGTCATTTTTGGCTGATAAACCGTTGAAAGGATTATAATATTTTTTCTAAAGTCAGAATTTCCTCTCGCAAAAACGTAGTGGGAAGTAATCTCCACCTGACAGAAGACCATACTTAACAACCAAGAAGAACATTGTACGAGTAAATAAGTTTCCAGGGCTCCACGGGGTAGGTGATAGATGAGGTGTAAATAGGTATTTTCTGCGGCATCTTCTTCGCAATTAATTTCGATTTTAACTTATCAACAGATGCAGTTCGGTGGACTAATTTTCTGCGATTTCTATAGTAAAAAATTACTAACCTCCTTAAGTTCAATCTTTAACTGTGTGTCCAGACCAGGCCCTTGGATATAGAACTTGCCATTCTTTAAAGGTATAGGCAGAGGGTTTTCGAGCTTTACTGTAGCGGTGAACTCTTTTTTGGAGACTGGCTTGTCTTCTATACTGATTTTAATATCGGGGTTCCTTACTCGGAAGTCGTCTTGAGCGAAGTAATCGAACTGTTTCTCTACTATCGTCACTAGAGCTGCGATATTGAAAGATGCCTGTAAAATATAATAAATTATTACCTTAAATATTAATTTGCATGCCTGTTTGTGCCAACTTGACTTTTATCTAGACCCAAGAATAATTACTGAAGTTCATGGTTTATTTTATGACATTATTCTTCACATTTAAGAGTTTACTTCCAAGATTTTACCATTGTTAATAAGGTTACATTTAGGATCGATTTCAATCGAAAAGAAATCTTATCAGGGACTTAAAATTTTATAGAATGCAAAAACCACAATCCTAGGCTGCCTCCAATTATGATTATAAAGAAAACTAAAAGCTCTATGAATCCTCATCATTAAGTTGTAGGTACAACCTATTCGTTTACTTATGCTCTCAAAAGTCAAAACGTTTGGAACGGGCAATAGTAGAAGCAACTTCTTACCTGATCAACTAGTTTATCATAGTACTCGTCGTAGGTGACCAACATCTCGATCTCATGCTTAGCCTCTGGACCCAATATTAGGTCAACGTCAGCCCGTTTGACGATATCCCCAGTTTTGCCACGATACGTCACCGTATCCACTCTCAAAACTCCTTTTATGGTGTACTTCTCTACCATGGAACGATTTTTCATATGCAACAACTGAAAAAGGCAAAAATAAACATTTTAAATACCAGGAGGTGTTTATTATGGTTAGTCATTAAGGTATGTTATCTTTTGAGAAAAGCATTAAAATGTAAATAGTTATACTCCATTTCTCCACATCGGCGGACGATCAAAGAAAATTTAATAATAGCATAACCGAATTATACTAAAAATGCACCGTCGTGGGGCGCCTGATAGATTTGGAACCAACTTATTGTTTAAAAAAAAAACAAAGGAAAAGATATATAAATAAAATGTAAATATTACCAACACTCACACCAATTAGCCTAGCCCCAAAGTAAGCACAGTAGGGCTTGTGTTATGGGATACTAGGGTAACGGATAGAATACATAGACAGTACATATATAAGTATATTTATATAGAAATACATATGAAACATCCATGACTGGAGTACAAATGCTCGTATTCATCACACAAACATCTGCCTCCACCGGGATTTGAACCCGGGACCTCTCGAGTCGGCGACACCATGAAACCCGGCGTACAAACCACTCGACCACGGAGGTCGTCAAAAAAAGGAAAAGATGGTATGAAAATTTTAAGAAAGATACTCGATCTCAATCTCTAAATGCTGCAGTCTTAGTGAGTGTTACAAAATCCTGATCAAACAACGGGGTTTATTTATCGATCACTGATCGAGATTATACATAGATCACTGTTCAAATTAAAATTAGTATGTCAAATACACGCAATAGATAGGTATTTCAAATCAATATTAAAACTACTTACAACTGTAAAGTTCTGGCCAATTTTGATATCATCGCGGAGTTCAAAATCGAAAGTGACGTCGTTGAAGGCATCGTTGAGGTAATATCGAGCAAAGATGTTTCCTGAACGTCTAAGGGCTTTTTCCATCGTTGACCTTTCCTCCAGTGTACGTTCCGGATACTTATATTTATCTGTTATATCCTAAAACATCAAAAGGAATTATAAGTACATCAAAATAATTGCTTAAATGCTAGAGTACTATATTGAAAGATTTCTGCAGGATTACAACTTTGCTTTATGTATCATAAAAGGCGCTGGTACCTCTCTTTCCATCTTGCCGATTGCTTTTGTTGATATTTTCTGTCCAATCGATATTGTGTCACGTTTTATCAACTTCAGTGGTTGAATTTCTCCAGAATATTTCCAGAGTATCTAAAACGTGTAAAGTAGAATGTTATACAAAAGAAAATTTTAGATATCACAGTAGGTAGGTATCTTAAAGTCGATTTTCTCAGACGAACTCAGAAATAATGTCTTGATCGCAAACTATTTAAAACGTTTGATAGGACTGAATAGTGGTTGCGAATAGTAAGCTACTTTTGACTTGTTGTTGTGATGACCAATGGTCCTTATCCAGTTCGGGTTTATGATTACTAACGCTGATTATTGCAGCGACTGTCACACTGTTCAGAGCTATAACTTAAAAACCGGCAAATGCGTGTCGTGCCACCCGTAGTGTAGGTTTCGGTAGTTGCCAGTCGTTACCACAATATTTGAGCAGAAGTCTTTATTTTTGTATCGGAAATTTAAAAAAACGAATCAATTAATATCTCAACTAAAATACCGAAATCAAAGTCAAACTGCGTCTCAAACTCTAAATCATTTCAAAATTATTATTTTTATAATATGATTAATAACCCCCGATCTTTTCAAGTGATTTATAAAAACGTAAGGATAGCGCGATTTCCAAGCCGTTGCCGTTGGTAGTCGCGGTAATTTTGTGGAACTAATGATATTTTATTGTGGTTTTTAAATAGCCTTTTTTAAATTTTGTTTTTCAAGCAAGGTTTTACGCTACAATAACTTCATCTATGTCACTATTAACATTTTCTTCTAAGGAATTTTCAATAGGCAAAAAAATTTCTTTAACCAAAGTTGAACGACTATTACTCTTTAACTAACAAATCTATCTTAACCGTAATAATTTTCATTAATAGTTCATGAAAAGCACTATGACTACGAACTACGAAACCCCTCAAAATAGAGATAATTTTTATCCATCGCAACACTACGTTGGAATATCATTATATTTGAAGTGGTATAATATGAACATTCTTAAAATTATGGGTAAAGTACTAGGGTCTACAGGGATGACTAGGAAGTGCCATTTTGGATATAATTATAAGCTCCCGCGTGCTTCAGAAGGCACGTTAATCAGTTCGTGAGTCCACCAATCCTCTCTAATGTACATCTTCTCTCCAGTTATTCCGTCAATAGGGCTTATCCCCGTACGTACTCCAGCAGTAACTTAGTTTTTATTAATAGTCAAGTTAGAAATGAGGTTGACTAAATCATCATGTGGGTACCTGAAATTATTATTATTAAAAGCATTTGACTGCTAGATTTATAAATCTAAAGGGATGGCACTGCCTTGCAGCCCAAGAAATTCTAGGAGCAATTTGGCACGGTCTCAGTAGCATAATTAGTTAGTGCGTCCGCCTGGATTGTCGAAGGTCGCGGGTTCGAATTCTGGCTGAAAGCTGGACCGACTAGATGTATTGTAAATATTTATTTTAGATTTATCAAGTACCTTGTCAGCGTTGACCTGCGCGAACACATATCCCGCGTCGTAAGGGCGCTGCAGTTCACCGTCAAGAACGGCGCGCAACGAGGCCGGTCCACATCTGAACATGTCTTCGGACATTTCCTGCGGCGTCGAGTCTATCGCTTGCCAGCCGCCATACTCTGGACCGAGATCTGGTCGCTCCATCCATACCTATTGACACCGTATTATGGACTTATATTACAAAACAGCAAAATTATCTTCAAGATTAATTTTACCTCAATGAACAAAACTTCACCTCTCTAAAAGTTCGTTACACCTACTCGCTTCGCTTCGGTATACAGCTGTAGTGTAGACTATAGTTTTTATTCTCAGGTTTGTATTATACACAATGACTTTCTTTATATGATAATAAACTTTGCCTGAATGTTTATTTAACTGACAGTGAAAATTTTTGCAAAAACGGATAAAAATATTTCATTTGTGATCTTTGTTTGAGTGCGCTGGGTTACGCTACAAGTTACACAAAAATCATGTATGACAGAATTATTCCCCTTTAAAAGTTCTATAAAAAAGTTCGCGACATCATATGTCCATCTTTTAAGTTTGAATCACTATAACCTTTTTCCTCAAATTAACGAGAGTAAAACCGCAGGGAATTTCTAGTTGTGATATTGCGAATTTTTTTGTAGATATTGATGTCTTCTATAAAACTTTAGTACATCACTTTGCTCCATTGTCAATGACTTCCACAGCGTACGCGATATAAGGTAATTATTTGAGATTTTTTTCACACATTTGGTTACATTGTCGAAGTTTTCATACGAAACCCTTACTTTTTTTAAAATACTCATCGGGAATAATGTTGGATTCTAAATGTGAAAGAATTTAATAAATCAGTGCAATATTTTCGGACCCTATTCAAAAAAACAAACAAACAATCAAATCTTTCCTCTTTATGATATTAGTATAGATAAATAATGTTTATTTACAAAAAAAAATATCAAAGAAAAATGTTATTGAATGTTATCTAATTAATAAAGTTATACTATCAGAAGTTCAAAATTAACGTCACCTCAATTCTAATTATCATAAATACTTATTGTTATCGAAGTACTAAGAGTTATGTGAAGCCACATTGCTGCTGTACAATACTAAAATTTATATATAGTCTATTATTAAAGATAAATGTTTCGTTGTTCATAACATCGATCGGCAAAGTGAGTCGGTGAATTTTATATAACGTCCAACGAAACAGAACATGAAACAGATGCTGCGGTTATATTTGTAACACCGCCATATATCACACACTTAAGAAACATAATAGTAGGGGAAAAAGTCTTTTCGCATTATAGTATGTGTGAACTTGCCAAAAAATCTCTTTGGCAATACCATTTGTATCTGGCTGGTTTGGTATCATTAAATGTTTAAATTTTAAATAAGATAATTCCAAATTCAAATTAGAAAAATGTGAGTTTTTCACATGTATTGTGTCTTTCTTACTGTCAAGATGAGTGAATCTAATGAAAAAATTCGATACATTAAACAAAAAGTAAAAATGCAACGCAAGCCGCGAAACAAGGTGATGTTTATGGACCTAGTGCAGTGTTTGTAAGAGAAGCATAAATTTGATTTAAGTGTTTTAATCCGAAAATTTTGATTTCAATGATGAACGTCGCTCTGGTCGGCCTGTTAAGAAAAAAATGGATGCCATTTTTGAAAAAGTGCAGCAAGATCGGCATATCAGTAGTTACGACATAGCTAAAGAACTGTAAATTACTCACAAACGGTTTTGGCGCATTTGATAAAAGCTGCACTTTCAAATTTCTACCTGTACCGGACTCTTCAGAATTCTTTAGGCAGTGTCGGGTTAACATCACGAGAGGACAGCCAAAACCACTTGCCGCGGTTTTTTAATCAGAAGCCCCAAAATTTCTATAGCAATAAGGTCATGTCCCTACCTACAAAATGGCAAAAAGTTATCGAACAAAATGGCACCTATATACTTTAGTTAAATGTAAATAAACTTCTTTTTTTTTAATTTTTTTAATTTTCATATCACATGCGAAGAAACTTTTCCCCCAACCTAATAAATCGGTTGAAATAAATATGAATAATAAAGTAAATCACAACGTCACGCCAACTTGACTTCCACTTAGCGCCTGTTTTGTTTCTTTCTCTTAGTGTCAATGTAGATTTTATTGGTATTATTAATTCAATGTGAGATCACCTCATTCCAAACGTGGTAGTTCCATACAGAGTCACTAGTGAAGTTGTCGAGGATAGTGCCGTCTTCGTCCTGAATGATGTCGATTGTGAGGCTGCTGCCGCTGTCGTGCGCAGCATCGAATCCGGTCACTGGTCTACATGGTATACCCAGTGCTCTGCAGACTGAAAACAATAAGCATTATAATGAATAACACTCGAAACAAAAGCATTATAAGGCCGGCCGTTAAAAAGCCTAACTTTAGTCGGTACAGAAAATTTTAAAATAATTATGACATTCAAAATCTACAAAAGTGAACATAGCTGTTTTCAGCGTCAGTTTGCAACTTAACTTAAGTCACTGTCAATCATGTGTCAACTAGTGTCAAGTGTCGACGAAGTTGAACGAAAAAGACAGTTTAGAGATATAATAACAGCGCAGTACTTAACAAAATCTTTCTAAGTCTCTTTTACCTGATATATGAATAAAAAATATTATCCCATAATATTTTTTTAAACTACTATAATTACGCTTTTTTTTACACAAAATTTTTGAACTTACACAGTTTCCATTACTAATATTACCACAGACTTAATAAAGACATCGGCAAAATTGCCGCATTACTCTTTATTGTACCAATATATTAGGTAAAGAAACCAATTATTATTATTTTTCTGGGAATGCTTATTGTATTGTATAAAAAGCAGCTATATTTTTATTCATATGCACCTACCTATGTCACTATTATTTTATTGCTATTAACTAATTCACTTCACAAATTGGGTATTTTTTTACAGATCGTTTATTATTTTGTTTCAGAAACAGGATACTTAAAGTCCTGGAAAATATGAGGTTCCTGTGGGAGCAATCTACTTAATCTGAAATTTGTTCTTGAATCAAAAAGTCCAAGCAGCCGAAGTCGTGTAAAAAGTCACAGCACCCCCAAATCTGCAATAAACTCGCATGGTGGGTCATTGCCCATTCTCTCCATTTTGCCCGCGGGGAAGGCCTGTGCTTCAGCAGTAGGGACATTAACATGATGAGGCTTACTTGTAGTCAGAACTCCAGCATACACCCAGCACTGCGCATATTTTACAGGTTTCTTCTTTTCGTAATACTTTTGCAGGATGTTGAGTGAGCCGACCCATTTAAGTGGATGAGTGCCTCCACTGTAGTCACTCAGCTCCTTGGCCCAGTTGCCGAATAATACTCCGTTGTCATCTTGGACATTAATAGCTGCCGAGAGTGCTCGTGCCACTCTAATTGGGTCACCTCGAGCTCCACCTTTCACCTAAAGGTCAGAGATTAATAAATACTTATTTGAATTTTGGCTCTTCATATCAATTAAGAATTCGCGCGTATCAAAGCTAATAATACCTCAATTCAAATACATATATGATTCATTCAATTGAATAATTTGATAAACAGTATACTTATATATTTTATTTGTATTAATATATTATTAGGTAAAGATTCGAACAACAAACACATAATCTGATGTCATGGTCATTTGTATTTTAATAACTCCTTATACTTATACGAAGTAGTACGTTACGTTCACAATCCCTTAGAGTTTCATTATTTATTTTGCTACGGAGGTTATTAATTTAATATAAATTAGGTAAAGGATAGTTAAAGCAAATTGTTCTACTAACCTTTCCAACTTCTTTGACTAGATATAACGCGCATTCCAGCACATCCTTTTCATATTGAGCGTAGTTCCATGGTGTGGGCTTGATCACATTGACTACTCCTCTGAACATTAGCCCACCATCCTCTTGCACATACTCTTCCCGGTGACTGTGGCCTAATCGGTGAAAAAGTATTGAAAATAGAGAATATTATTTCTAGTCAGCATAACTTATATAACTGCATGAGTGCTGTTTTCATTGACTTCTCCTTGATTATAAAGTGACAAGCATAATTAAGTATTTTTCCAAAAAAATATACCTATTTTTGTAGTATTGATATGATAGGTTGTACTGCATGATTTCTACCTTATAACGGGGTATTACTCACTTGCATTGTTACAATAAGTTTTATTTACAACAATAAAGCGGTAATAAAATAATCAGATATACCTAATATCCGATTATTTTATTACCGGTATTCACATAACCCAAAGAGATTGATCTTTATTACCTGGCATATACACGCTGTCTTGAAGACACCAAGGATTAAAGAGTACGTATACAGGCAACGGGTGCGTATAACTGAGGGAGGCACCTCCGCTTAGCTTGGTGTCGATGTCCATTCGCCACGCAGCAACTATGCAGTTAGCAGCAGGGGTGATGGCCACCATGAGATGAGAATCCATCTGACCTTCATACACAGCTGTCCAATCACCCATAATCTCAGTACCCTTCTCCAGAAGCGGCACGGCAGCCGACATCTCATTCGAGGGCCCACGCATCGTCGCATCTGATTCACAAAATTCATCTATTGTCGCGTACGACAAAAATTTGGCAATTAGTAAAAGCAATGGAAAATTAAATTAAGAAGGAGTGCAAATAAAGTAAAGAGGAAGAAAGTCTCAAAATGCTAGAAGTAGAGACAAAGCTTATAAATAAATACAATAGTTTGATGGGATAGGATTTGATCCATATTCTAATCTAAATACAATATATAAATGAGAATGTTTTCGTAACAAATCATACCCAAGCATCACAAGCATATTTTTAATTATGATTCTGCATTCGCCAATATTCACCAAGATAATAATTTAAATACCTAGCGAAGTCATTACAATAACAAAATCTAGTTGAATATTGATCTCGAAAGGTGATACTGCATTAGTGATTTGAATAAACAATAGATTCATTAGATCCACAGTGATTTGTAACGCCTACGTCTTGTCGCCTATAATATGTATGCACTAAACTATGCTTATGATAATCAGACAAGTGCAAGCGTAACTTCCTACTCCTTCCTTTGGTAAACAAAAATAAAAACATTGTTGTACTATGTACTTAAAGCTCTTGGTTTGATAAAGGTATTATTCTAAGTACGATTGGTGCTCATGCTACGGGGGCTGTCCTTTATGTCAATGCCCTTAAAGCAACGTAACAACTTCACTAAAACATTTTCTAAACGGGTACATAGAGCGATTTATTAACTTATTTCATTCCTGTGTTTCGAATCATTTACAGGCACCATGGTCACAAGATTGACGAGGGCGTTACACTTGTTAAAAATATGATTAAAATGCATGATTTATATCGAAATAACAGAGCAAACCACAACCCAAGCTTTTGAGAAAATGTTTTCGGATAGTAGCTATATCAGTGTTAAGTCATCTGAAGGTACATACCTGAAACGTTGAAAATGAATGAAATTGCATCTTTCGCTGGGTCGTATGGTCTATTTAAGAGGATATCCAACTTGAAAGCCTGTCCTCGCCTGACGACCAAACTGCGATCTACCACGCGTGTCATAAGATTGAATTTGCTGGTATGATGATTCTCGCCGTTGGTTTCAACACAGAAATCTATACCTTGCACCGCCAGCACTCCATGTTTCGTTGCATCGATGACATCTGTAAAAAATAATTATATTTTTGCTTACTTACTTAAAACACACGAACTATCAATGGGACTGATCCTTTGTTTTTTCCTCCGTGGACTGATCACAGGGCATACAAAGAAGACCTCTTACTGTGTTCTCATGGACTGATATTATGTTCCTTTTGTAATATTTTTGAGAAGTTGACTTCTTAAACTTGTAATTATTTATGCTGTGTTTAGCTACCTGATATTCTGTTAATGTTTGCATACTAAATAAACTTTATTTTTACATTATATAATTTAAAACTCCAATGAAATATATTTTTTTAATTAATTACCAGCCATATTTCTGCCCACTGATTTAGAGATTCAAGAGTTAGTTTTTAAAATTCACCAGCAAACAGATTATGAAAGGAAATACTTCTGACATTGGAAATTCTTTAGCGCATGGAATTTGTTCATCGGTTAATAATACTACTCGAAATCAGCTTAGCCAATCTTCAATCTAAGCTGCTTATTGTAATATAACAATGAAGTTCCTAGATATTTTAAGACTGATTTTGATGTACTTGCTTTCAAATCATAACAGCAAAAAAATTTTAAGTTACCCTTGACTTTCGTTAATTATATGGAAATAAAGGAAATCGCGTTCTTATAAAATATGTATGAAGGTAATAAATTACTACGACGGATTTATTTCAACAATATACAAATAAAAATAGTCTGTTTGTTAATATTACTTATTTAGCAGCGTAAATAAGAATACGGTACAAAAACACTTCATCATCGCTTTAAACAACCTACTAGACATTACTCTGCCATCGTTGTTTACTTCTTAGTAGGTATTAATGTACAAAATAACGTTCTTTTCCTCAGGGAATCCCTATGCTTCGTATTCATAACAGCAGTTATCATTCAAGAACACCACCGTAATAAGACAATGCAGACAGTTCACTGCATACTTGCATAGCCTGTATATTCTTCGTAAGTCTTGATCCTTTATCAAATATTTAGTTTAACGGTAGGTAATGTTAATTTTAAAATTTTATTCACTGAGCTTATTATGTTTAGCCTAGAGCTTATAATCTCCACAGAATGACCTGGAAATCCACTTCATTTCATTACAAGCTGTCTATACATCTCGAAATTACAAATATTCTTACTCTACGAAGTCAAGGGTCTAGTAAAAAAGTTTTAAAATGCTTTTAAGGTTAAGTCTGCGTTGTTTCCATTCATGTTAAATGTAGGAATAAAGTAAAAAAATAAACAATTTATAAAAGGCCAATGTCATAAAAAAATACTTAACTTTTCTGTTGATCGTTCATGATGTAGAAAGCCAATCATATCGAGCAAATAATTAAATCCAACTTATTTGAGATCTAAGCATCACCTTATCAACTAAAACTTCTTGATCGTTCTCGCCTAAAATACTAATTTGAGCGTTTTTTTTTATTTTTTTACTAGCGCGACTTCGTCCGTTTTAACTTTAGTTTTTTTAAGAATTCCACAGGAACTTATATTTTCAGGGATAAAAAGTATTCAATGCTTCGAAGAGAATATTCCGAGCGAGAATATCCAAGCCGGAGATATTCCTCTTTTCTAGGCACATTAAACATTTAGTTCTAATAGAGCATACTGTACCATGGCAAACTACCAAAAGACCACACAATATTTTTGAATAAATATTACGATCTAACCAACAAACTAAGTAAAAATGGCCATCTAGTTAATTTATATGCGGTAGAAGTAGGAGCGAAAGGTATACCAGCAAAATCTCTCTATAACCTTCTAAAAGACCTCGGCCTGTCGAGAACTACAGTACGTTAAATTTCGGAACGAGTAGCTAAAGCTAAAGCTGCACTAACAGGCTCCTATCAAATTTGACTATGAAGACCAACTCGAGCAGTGAAGGTGAGCGTTGATGCGCATCTCAAAGGAGGCCTCCTTAAACCTATCCCTGGGTCGCAAGTGCCAGGAACTGCTCAAAATTTCTCTCTCTCTCACACAATGGATCCGGCATGGTGAATCCATGGATTGCTAAGAAGTTCGTCTCAATCTAGGTCTTAAACTATATAAGTACCAAATTTCATCTAAATCTGTTCAAGGTTTTTGGGTGATTGAGTAACAGACATAAAAACTTTTACATTTATAATATCATATAATAGAAAGTAGGATTCAACTAGGAAAAAAAGGTAAGTAAAGAATGAAACCTAAAATAGTAAGTCTGGTGTTCAAATGTAACTATTAAGAAAGTGTTCATTTCATATAAGATACTATTCTGTTGATTAATGTATATTTTAAATGTATTTAAAAAAATAGAGATAGAAGATGGATCCGATAGACTAATTTAATTGTATTGCAACGTTAAAAAATACAATATTGTATGTATTAAACTATCTTTTATAATAATAGCTAGCTATCCTTATCTTTTATTTAGAATTCACCACAGATCAGTTTTCGCTGGAGTCCTGCCAAATGTTCAATCAATATTGGAATATCTCAGAATATTAAGGAAAGTCTGTTTTCAATAAACGTTAAATTGATATGACTTGATACAATGTTTTTTATTTGAAATAGTAATATTTAGTATTTAATCTGTACTAAAGTGTAATCTATATTTAAGGAAACAGTCGCGAGTAGACCAGCACTAGCGTGTATAATTACGAACTTTACTTTATAAAAAAACAGCCTTTTATTCTTAATTTGAAGTTTTAAAATAATGGCTTCATTCTTATGTTTGTCCTACAAAGTATATCAAAACATTATATTTAATTAATATTAAGTGCCAGTCGATAGTATGCTGCACTTGCTCAAATTATTATTTTTTGATTGTTAGTTACCAAACAATTTATTATAAAACGGTAGAGCTTACTCTCTCTATACTATAATATAAAGAAAATATATTTTTTTGCAAATTAAGAACTCTTTGTCAATTAGTTTCTGTCTATTTTCGAGTTAATGATTGTGGAAGGAGTTGTGAAAGAGTCATAAAATATCAAAGAGCGAGGTACATAAATAGGCTACCCTACCCTAAAATACTTATCGTACAACATAGGCTGTATAAATTACTTATTTAAAGTTAAATTACTCAGTCCTTTAATTTAAAAATTAAGATAAGATGAACTAGTTTAAAATTAGATCTAAAAATATCTTTTTTTTAGCTGAATATTTTGTGTTTTTTTTATGTGATGAAAAGTGTCCATTAAACATTCGAAAAAATTATGCTATTACATAAACTAGAGTAAATTTAAGATATTAATATAATTAATTAAATATAAACCCAAGCTATTGGCTAATTTACTCCTCCATAGTATACTTACTTTAAGTAACAGCTAATTTCAAAGCAATAAATATCGCATATTTATCGTGTTTTTAAGATCCAAGGAACAGAAACCTATTGATATCCTATTCAAAGTTATAAAACTAAATTTTACGCAAAAGTTGTTTAGACAGTTGCATATTTTACCTGCGAGACTTACCTGGTTGGAATGGAACATTGATGATATATTTTTGTTTTCTGGAAAAATAATGTCTCCACAAGTTCTTCAGATACTCCATATTTCAATATTTTATACGAACACTCAACTTATACTACCTTAAATTTATTATCACAGAGTTTTATTTATCGATAATTCGTTTACAAACTTCTCATTGAACACTCCGCTCCGAACAGTTCGATAGTTATCATATTCGCAAGGAACTCGTTAATGAGTTGGTAAATCAAACGTGTAGTTCTTTGCGGATTTCGACACATACTGTTGATTCTAGTCATGGTCGTCAGACTGGGCTTCATCCACCAACACAACGATGATGTCATAGAATCAACAAGTCTCTAAAAGCTTCAACCCGGTACTAAGAATTTTCATCCATTCATTAACAATGGCTCAGTTAGTCATACTATCAATCCAATCTGCGTAAGTCTTGACCGAATTTGTGAACAAATTTACAACTATAGAATTAGTCTGTACCAAAAGATTGTGTCACAGTTTAATAAACACAACAAACGTGTCTTACTATCATCAATTATCATGGTGATAATATAAGACCTTCGGATCATAAAATCATAACCATAGATTTATTTATTTTTTAGAACCAGCATATATGTAAGCTAGTTTGGATTTCAAGTCAGTGTTTCGAAAATACGTAAGTAGTTAGCGTACCAGTCACCCATATTTTTCGGGCCTAAATAAACTCCTGCTTATTGATGCTTGGGCAACCTCACTCCCTGTAGAAACACAACACTAATAAACAGTTATTTTTAGCTTTAGATTTCTCTACAGTGAGTGATTCTTTTCCAAGCGCGGCAAACCGCTGTGCCTTACCTACATCTCCTAAAAGGTCTTCAATAAATATTTGAATTGATTTTAAGTACTATTTCAACAGTTGAATACTGAGAAGGCGAATAATATCTTAAAGCATCAAATCTTTATCAATAATAGTAAATTATAATATAAGTAATACATACTTTGGTATATATCTAATGCAGAAATATATCACAAGATATACATTCAAAAAGTTATAAAAAGTGAATTATATTATATCAATCAATCTTAGATGCATTATACATGAGTAATGAATCAATTGAGTACCTTGATTTCTGACCTCAGACCGAATAGCTGAGTTGTAATGGTTCAATTAATTTATATTTGCTAGCTTTAAGTACACACAATTATATCTACTTCTCATTAATTGACATGAATTCAGAAACCTAACTTAAGTTACAGTATTTTGAAATATTAAAATTTATTTTTATTATTTTGTAACTGCAATGCTTGAACTTCACGATTTGAAGGAATGCTGAATGTTTCAAAATATGTTCTCTCCTATGAGCCTCTGAGTTTGCCTAATTTGTAAATAAACAAAATACATAAAACCAAAAAAAAATTAAGACAATAAAGCTTTTAGATAAATAATAAAGCCACATGGCTTAAGATATGTCTACTTAAAAACGTGGTCAAAAAAAAATTTGAGCCTTTTTCGACTGGTTTATTCCTGCTACTAAAGAACCAAATAGTTTAGTTTATCAAACTTA